GGTTTTGAATTGAGCATTCGAGTAGTGAAAAATTATATGCGTACCTGTAGGCCTTACTCGAGCCATGGAAGACGTCATTCGATTGAACATTCGTAAATTTTGTAGAGAATTCTTGGCGAGAAACTGCCCAGAGATATCGCAAACACAGGATCCATACATCGCCAAGGACACCCTCATTGTTTGGTGGCCATTTCTTTCTGGAAATAATTAAAGACTTTCAGATTGTTCCTGCTCCAAACACCGTAAAATGAAATTAAAACTCAAATAATTATTCCACACATTTCTTAATTTATTACCGAAAAAGATAAATTCTCCTTTAAGATTGGGAAGATACTTGCCTCTGAACAACCTTGACAAAGCCTTTAAACATTGATAACGCATAATCTTTAGATTTGTCCGGTATAAACACCAGAAGAGCAAGAAACTGTGAATACAGCGATAGACACTGAGCAGGTGACACATCGAGATCATTCAGTGTTTGCAGAGAATAATGAAGGAGAGCTTCTGTCTGAATAGAAATAGAGCTTTAGCGAAAAGTATAATCTCAAAAAAGGGCAAACTTTTTTAATCGAACTATAAACAAACCTGTGGACGAGAGTTAGCCAATAGAGTTAAGTAGACTGTCCGCAAAGAAAAATTCAGTCGTACAACAGGGTCATTGATTGAGGGAGTTGTTATGAACAAATTAGCAATGAGCGCTCTAAACGCTTTTTTCTTTGGAAATACATATACGAAAGAGGTCTAACCAAACAGTTACCTCATGAAAGTAGCTTTCTTGTTAGACGCTGGGCGATTCTTATAGAATTGTAAAGCAAAAGAAACCATCAACATTAAAATATGCTAAAAAGTAGGTTTACCTATTGAAAGATAAGAAAAAGAAATCAGGAACTAACAGCAGTGATGTCATCGCTTTGGTAGAGTACGGAACGAGCACGAACTAGGAACGCTAGATGCCTTTCTGGATCTTCTGACATCATTGGTCGATCCAGTGCAGATGACACGATACGATCAACAACTCGTACCTAGAGTAGGCTGGGCATTCTGCAAATTGTGAACCAAAAACTATAGAAAGATTCTGAAAATGTCGAATAAAATCCAAACGATTCCTAACCCTCAGTAAAGGGGATTAGTTACAATAATGAAAAAGAGGAATTCCGTTCCAAAAAGGTCAGGAGACAATTAGCCCCATTGTA